TTGTTCCTTCCTTCACTCACTCTCCTTTTCTCTTCCCTGGACCTTATGAATTTCTTTCTCCTTTCAAGTCTGAACCTTCCCATTCCCAAAGCCATACTTCTCGGCCAAGGCTAGACTTTACACTAAGAGCAGAAGGGTACCACATTCTGGGTTTGTTGTTTAAGGAAAAAAGAAACTCCACTTCCCTCCAGTCCCAAATTAATTTCCCCAAACCCTGTCACGGTGTCTGAAATTATTCTATTGGAGAACTTTTTTTTATGAATTCATTCACCTGGAGTTGCTTATTAAAATGCAAATGGTCCTGAGAAGACTAACACTATCAGTTAACAACACCTGATGTGCAAAGAGGGGTACAGACAATAATGCCCCACAGGCTCAAGGCCCAGGTTTGAAACACTAACCAGGTAACAAGGTAGAATGAATTTTACGGAGAAAGCAAAGGGGCTTGAGATGAACAAGATAGCTAAACCATGACAAACCTTACAATTTTGCCAATGGTTTCCTCTGCTTTAGGTGACAACTAAGCCAATTACAAGCATCTTCTCAATCAGGGCTTCTTGATCTCAGCTATGCTTTGAGACCAGCAACCTTGGATGAAACCCCTTTGTTTAAATCAGTTCTGTAGTGTCTTCTGCAATGGCATCGCATGTGAGAAGTCTTAAGAATGTTCATGGAAAATATGTATTAGAAATGGCTATGCATGGGTTTCTGTTTTGTGCGTGTGTGTGTGTGTGTGTGTGTGTGCGCTGAAATAAACGTGTACTTCAAATGCCACTTTCGTCATGAACTTTTTGAGGTTTGCTTGTATGCTCAGCATATGTTAGTAATCAAAGTTTCACCCTCCTCAGACTCACCCAGTGTTTTCTATAAGTGACATGATTGTTCGTGAAGAACAATCACCTCTTCCTCAATCCTTCTATGACAGTATCCAACTATTTGGCTGAATTGAAACTCTGAGGCTGAGTCCTTGCTCAGTTGATTCCTTCCTAGTGAACGTTCCTCACTATCAAATACTCTTAACACAGGTGATTTCCTATAGAGTTACTATGGCAATGCCCCCTCACATCCACGAATGTTCCCTTTCCTCTGACTCATCACATAGTTTCCTGCCTTTCTTTAAAAATGAAGTTCAAAATTATAATTATTATGGAGGATGGTATCTTTTCTCCTTTTTCAGACTCTCTATATTGCTTTTACTTTAATTTTTAAAAACCAAAGAGAAACAAGTTTGACAATTTGGAAAAAAAACTTTGGCATCTTCCAATTAAATTCACTACTTTAGAGGTAAGTTTTCTAAAAACAGATACTATCATAAATTATAAAAGACAGCTGAAAAGGAACAGAAGCACCTGAGACGTAAAAGTGTTTTTTAACCAAAATGATCACTTAACATAAAACATTAAAGTTTGTAAAATTTTTACGATATAATTAGTATTTTTAAAAAGTATGTATTTCTACCTTTTGCCAAAGAACTTAGCATCACTAATTACAATCTGAAGTTTTAAAATAGAAGTATCATAAACATCTAATGTAAGAATTAGGGTAACTATTATCACTATTTTAAAGTAATAAATTACAGACATTTTAAAGTAATCAGGTTTATATTACTGGGTTATTTTTAATTTTCAATTTTATTGAAATGATTGTCTAAATGTTTTAATAATTCCCAATAAGATCTAAATCCAATGTATAATGTTTTAAGTGTAAGACAATCCACAATAATAGAAAGCCATAGAAGTATAGTTGAAAGGAGTATGAGCAGTGACAGGTAGGTAAATGCTGAATAACCAGCTTGGGGTGGGAGGCTCCCTGATTTGCAGCAATGTTCAGTTTCCAAAGGGAATGCTTTTTCCACTTGCAAGTTACTAACATGAAGTCATCAATCACATAGTCCAAAGGGGTGTGACTGCCTCCCACAAACATATCCCACTTGTCCCCAGCACATCACCAAATATGAGAGACCAGATAGTAATGGCACCTTCATCCCTGAAGCCCTTCCACAGAGCTCACCACTTCTTTCTTTACAATCCACTGTACTCTGAACACATAGCCTAATGCCCATGCATTGTTATGTTTATGTATTTACCTACCTGGCTCTGTTTCATTCTTTTTTTGGATGTGAAGCACAAAAAGAAACACATTTTTCTTATGATCCAGCCAGCACACACATATATGTGCAGCACGTTATATACCTATACAAATAGATAAAACTAAAACAAATGCCTCACAAAATTACGCACACTAAGTGTAATGCATCAAAATTTTCTATTCTCTTCTATTTCATTTGTAAATGTCTGATCTTGATCCACTAAATTGGATTCATATCCCCCATTTCGGTAACAACCCAAAGTTTGAAAATGCTGCTGTAATAGACAATAAGCTCCTTGAAGATAGGATTAAATATCATTAGTCTGTATTCCTATATCAAGTAGTAATTACTAAGACCCAAGGAGGTTAAGTAACTTGTCCAAAATATGCACATGCTATTGCTGATAAATAATCCCTCCGGGAAATTGATCATTCATGCCACAAAAATCAAGATATTTACTGCCTGACATTAAAAACTAAAGGAACTTTCTAGACAGCTACCCCTTTGCCAAAAATTAATTGAGACATTGTTTAAAAAATTATGCCAATGCCATAATTTCCAAAAAGGAAAGTTTAGTCCTTTACTTGCTGTGGTGCTGGGATCCTGACTGTTTGCCCAGGAAGTCTGGATTGCAGTGATCATTTTTCCCCCTATAATTGACACTATTCACCCCTCAAGAGTGGTATTTAAGAAACAAAAACAAAACAAAACAAAACAAAAAAGAAAACATGTTTCTTCCAGATCATCTTCAATTTTCTAGGGAAGTGAGCTATTTAAATGTCTATAAACATTAAACGTATGCTAAAGAATGAACATACTCTATATAATACACATTAACACCAGCTTTCTCATAAGCAAAAGCCAAAGACTTAGTTGGAGAAAATACTCACTCAGGAAAAGAAAGTCTGAATCCACGGCCTTTTCTCTTCAATGTGCTTGCACACCACACGCTCTTTTATAGGTGCTATTAAATGTACACTATAGTTTCAAGACAATTCAGATAAGCATCTTCACTAAAATACACAACACCATTAATCATCTCAGTGACAGTGCTCCAATTTAACATCTTGGGGATTTCCTCCCCTTCTTCATCATTTATTTGCCAATATTTCCTTGTTATGAATATCCCCCTAGTGACTTTCCCTGGCAGTCACAGCTGTGCTGCCTACTGTGTCTACCTTGACTACAAATAATACTGATTCTTTAAAAAGAAAACCCTTGAGAAGATTTCTATGGTTCAAAGAGAAACCTTGCTATCAAGGGCCAAATTCCTGGTGGCCCCACCCAGGCTCCTGACTTCAAAGTGACAAACCTCCACATCTAAAAGAAAGTAATTTCAAACACCTGAAACTGGCTTAATTACAAATGAACAACAGTTGACTGTTGGGAGCCATTTCTTTGGATGGTCAACAATCAACTGCTGCTTTAATGTGATTCTTTAAGGATCCCCTTCTTATACAACAAAAGGTTACTTCCAAGTATCCATGAATCACAACAAAACCACAAAATCACTAACAAATTACAGAAATCTGGCCATCAAGAGTCATAATAAATGATTCAGAGATTTTTTTTAAAAGAAATAATCAGATACAATTTTGGCATTGTAATTGCATCAGATCTGATGAAGAGAATAGTGTTATCTAGGCAACACAATATGAAGACCCACAGCCAGAGGTAAGTGCTTACTAAATACACAATCTTACAACCATCAACTAAACCCTGCGAGGCAGGGAACAGTCCCAGTCCCATCCAGGATCCATTCTGTGTCCATTTCAGAGAGGAGCCATCATAGCCACCAGAATTTCCTGGTCATTTTTTAAACGGAAATCATGAAAGAAAACGCTCTACAACCAATTAGAGGAGTAAGTGAAAGTAGAACTCACCAGGTTGGATGCAAAAGAATTTTTAAGGAAAAAAAGGGCATTTTTTTTTTCAAAAATGACACTCTACTGCAAAAGAAGTTAAGAGTATGAAGAAAACACACACCAAAGTATATTTGCAAAGTACATACAGAAAGATCAATGCCTCTAGTGGAATTGTGTTTATACTACTTGTATTTTATGTAGGGGAATTTAACTAAAGGTGTATGTTGCTTTGCTTAATATTCCATAACTTTTCTGGAAAGCATACATTTCTATCCTCTTTTCTTTCTTTCTTTTTTTTTTTTTGGAAGACTACAATTGGACTGTTGTTTAAAAAGATGCAACTTTCTTCTTAGCAAAAGCAATACAAGTCAAGTTATGATACATTAAAATGCTATTTCCTTGCCAGAACACAGTGTTTACTTCAGTGATAGTAACAACACCTTTTTACCAAAAGTGTAGATTCTGTTAAGTAATGGACAAAGCAAATGGCAGCAAAGACAGAGGACTCAACTTCAATTTAACTGTCCTGTAAGGTACATAGTAATTAGCTGCAAAGCTCTGAAATCTTAGCTAGCATGTTAAGTCTGCTACATGACAGTATAATTTGACTTCTTAAAGGATTATGCAAATTACAACTCATCATTCCATTACAGGATTGAAAAAAAGTGACAGCTAATTTATACATAACACACCTTTCAAATCCCTAAGATGCGTAGCACCTGTGCAATGTATTTTGCCGAGATTTCCTTGCATATAAGTACTTGTTTATTGCAATATAAAGAAGCTTACCTAAGAGCTTTAATACAGTCATTTAAAAAAAACTTTTAGACCACAATTTCAAAAGAATAAACATGGTTTGTTTGTTTTTTTCTGTCTTGATTTCAGAGGCAAAATTTTTGGTTGTTTTCATTTTGTCTGGTTTGGGGTTCTTTTTCCCCCTACTAAGATAAAAATAAGGTTTCAATACAAGGATATTTTTGAATAGTTGGCAACCACACGCACTGATGCACGAGCCAGAAGGAAGACTCACAAAGATTTCAACATAC